TGTTACCTTATTTACCATAGCAGATTCATCAAAGGTAACATCCCTGCTGAATATTACTTTCTTTTTCATAAGACACCATAAGCGGTATCCTTTGACTCCAGAAGTAATCCCCATAAAAATAGCTTTTTTTGCCCTTGGATCCAATTTTGACTCTGTCACATGATAATATGCAGGTGAGCCAAACACATGCAAAGAGTCATAATCTACAACACGTTTTCCATACCATTTTTCAAATGGTGTCTTGCCGTCAATAGCAGCAGATGGTAGATGATTAATGAGGTGGCATGCATATGTAATTGTCTCATCCCAAAATTTTTTGCCCAAGCTAGCATTGGACAATATGCACCGTACCTTCTCCATTAAGGTCTGGTTCATACGTTCTGCCACTCCATTCTGTTGTGGTGTATGTCTGACAGTGAAGTGTCAGATGATGCCATCATATTCACAGACCTTATTGAAATGATCATTTTTCTATTCACCTCCATTGTTTGTGCGAATACACTTGATCCTCCTGCCTGTTTGATTCTCCACCATCGACTTCCATTTGAGAAAAATTCTCAACACTTCATCTTTGCTCTTTATTGTATACACCCACACTCTTCGGAAAAAATCATCAACAAAGGTTACAAAATAGTACTTTCCACCCAATGAAGGTGTTTTGGAAGGACCCCAAACATCAGAGTGTACATAATCCAAAATGCCTTTAGTATTATGGATCGTTGTACCAAATTTAACCCTTGTTTGTTTCCCTTTGACACAATGCTCGCAGAACTCCAAGTTGCAAACCTTTACTCCCTTTAACAATCCTTGATCTGATAGAGTTTTCAAGGATTTTCCTCCAGCATATCCCAAGCGCATGTGTCATAGCATGTTGCTTCTGCCTTTTTTTCGTCACTGGATGTCACTGTCACTATCCTAATAACTGTATTACCACGATAACGGTACATGTTATCATTTTCCGATTGGCCTTCATTACCACTAGTGCACCGAAACATACTCTCATCACTCCATTTTTTGCAATGATTTTGAACCCTTTTGATTCTAGGGCTCCCACAGAGATGAGATTCTTCTTCAAATGCGGTACATATCGAACATCTATTAATGTTATGATCATTCCATCATAGTTCTTAATCGTATTGAACCAATTCCATATAAGGTAAGAGGGATGTTGTCCGCTGTGTGGATGACTTCATATTCTCCTTCTTGAAAATCCACGAACCAGTCCTTGTTGGGACACATATGATAGCTTCAAGCCGAGTCCATCAACCATATGTCTGATGATGTTGATGATTCTGTTGTAACTAATGAGAAGTCTGAATCATCACAATCAACTACATTTGAATCTATAATGGCCTTTCCATTGTTATGTTTGGCCTTATTCTTCAACTTCGGATAGTCTTTCTTCCAGTGCCCTTTTTCTCGACAAAAGGCACATTCATCTTTGCTGGGTCTGGATCTTGACTTGGATCTTCCCTTCTTTGTCCTCGTTTGATTTTGAGGACGACCCCTCACAAATAGTGCTTCTCCTTCTCCGCCCTTCTGTTTTTCTCGCTTTCTTTGTTCATAGCTGTACAAAGCCGAACAAACTTCTCTGAGAGAAACTTCGTCATTTCCATGGAGTAGAGTAGTTTCAAGGTGCTCGTACTCATCAGGAAGTGACGCCAACAACATCAAGGCCAAGTCACCATCATCATAAGTTGTATCCATATTTTGCAAATCTGTAACCAACTTATTGAAACTGGTGATATGTTCATTCATCGTGGTACCAGGAACATAGGTGAAGTGAAACAGTCTCTTCTTCATGTACAATTTATTTTGACTGTTTTTCTTCAAAAATTTATCCTCCAGTGCTTTCCATAATTTACTTGCAGAAGTTTCCTTTGTGTATGGATATTTCTGCTCTCTAGCAAGGTAGGATCGAATGGTACCGCAAGCAACACGGTTGATAATTTTTCGATCTTCTTCTCCAATAACATCTGGTTTCTTTTCTTCAATGGCAAGATCTAGCCCTTGTTGAAAAGGGACATCTAGAACCTCGCCTTGCCACATCCCAAAATATCCTGACCCGTCAAAAATTTATATCGCAAATTTCGCATTTGACACGATTCGTGTCATAAGAGAAGATGCCAATGATGACGTATTGTTGACACTTGATGTAGGTTCTTCTTGTTTATTATCTCCATCTTTGACACAAATATTATTTAATAGCTGACGACACAAATCAAGATTATTTCCTTTTTGGTGTGGAAGATCAGACTAAGCTGCAGCCACAGAGCATACTCAGACAGAACCTTGACTCAGTTACCAAGATAAATCTTTTCTGATGTGGAAGATCAGACTATGCTGCAACCATAGAGCACGCTTAGACAATACTTTGGCTCTAATACCAATTATTGCAGAAGTCAAATGTATATAGTGTAAATGAGTCACAACTACTATATCAAATTATGACAGCCACCAAATAATAAATAAGACAATAAAGCAACAATAAAAGGAACACCAGAATTTACGAGGTTCAGCCAATTTTGCCTACTTCCTCGGATACAACCAATATTTTATTACACTCCAAAAATACAAGTGAAATAATACTAAAGAGAGAAGATACAAATGCCTTAAGAAGATAAGAAGACAAATGAGAGGTGTATTTAAATCCTAAACATTAGGCCTCCTTTTATAGGGAAAAATTCCCAACCAATTTGGTCCTCCACCGATGTGGGAGTTTTGGCATTCAACAAGATGTGATGCGCAATCCAAGTTGTGATGTCCCGACAATGTAACGCATGTTGCATGAATTGACATAAGAGATTCATAGCATGTGATGTTTGTGGACGTGTTAGAGTAGTTGAAATGGAAAAAACTATACGTACTGTTGCAGCCTTTACTACTAGACTAAATGTGTATTCAAAGTCGACTCCTTCAATTTGGTTATAGCTTTTAGCTACTAACCTCGCCTTGAAACGTTCCACTTGACCATCTTCTTTCAATTTCGTCTTTAAAACCCATTTAGATCCAACAACATTCATATGTGGTTGGCAAGGAACCAATTAACAAGTATCATTTGTTCTTAAAGCTTGCATCTCATCAGTCATTGCAGCCTTCTAGTGAGGTTTGAGCAGTGTCTCCTTGATGTTTTAGGTTCGTTGAGGTCCTGTTGGAGAGATGCAATGAAGGATTGTGAGAAAGAATTATTCTAGGAGTGTGTTTTGGTGCGGGTGAGCACTGGATGGGTATTGCCTAGGTTGGGTGATCGAGCAAATGTGTGATAATGGCGGGAATAAAGATTCTGTCTATGTGAGTAGAGGCAGGTTGTATGGAATTTTCATCTAGTAAAGTTGGTGTGCATGGCGATGGTTGTAAAGTACCAATAATATCAATGTCTTGGGAATTAGGTAGGTCAATAGGTAGTGGGGAATTACTTGACTCAATATAGGAGTGTGAGGCAATAGAGTTATATGTTTGTTGTGGACTTGGGCATACATCATTGGTCAAGGATGGTTGAACATCATTTTGTTGAGAACTAATCTCAAGATTCACGTCTAGTGTGTGCATGGGAGGCTCATCAGATAGTACCTCAAGATTTTTGCTACTATTTTGTTGCTCCAAATATTCCTTGGAAGTACTGAAGTGAGGATTTTGTGATTCTGCAGGCAAATCAACACTAGGAGAGACATAGGGTAAGTGTAATTCATCAAAAATAATGTATCTTGATATAAAAAAACCTTTTAGATTGTGGATGATAACATCTATAGCCTTTATAAAGTAGAATAATGTAACACTCCTCAAATCTATAGAAGTTTCAAGACCCGCTAAATATAGAATTTAATTTTATAATCTTAAATTATACTTTTATTACGGATTAAAAACTCATTTTTGAGTTACTTCTATATTTATAAATAATTTGTTATATAATTATGGTAATATTAATAATTTTAATATTACTAAATATTAAAAGTGGGTATCATTAGTTATTAGTTAAGTCAAAACAAAACAAAAAACGGAAAAACAATTAAAGTAAAATAAAAATAAAAAAAGAGGGGGAGGGGGGTGCATAAAGCGGCTCGAACGTACTTCTTTTTAAAAGGTCAAAAGGCTTGAAAGCCTTAATCAAACACAACTTAAAAAAAAGGTTGAAGGCAAGCCTTACCAAAACAGAAGGTTTAAACTTCTGTTCGTGAGATTCACGTATCGCTACGAAACAGAGGCAGCAAGGTTGTTTACGCAGACAAGAAAATTATAGGGTTCTTTACAAATCACTAATTCTCGAACTCAGGTATATAAAATTTTCTATTTTTAATTATCCTAAAGTAGTAGTAGATAAGAATTAAATAGTTAATTCCCTTCTTTCTCTGTATCAACATTAAATTTCATGTTTAGGTGTGAAACTTTAAAATTAATTAAAAGGTACCGGTTGTTGTAGAATCAATTGTTTGACGGGCATAAATTGGACTGGGGCCTACGTATTGGCTCGAGGAGTTTTGAGGTGAGTTGATATAACCCTTTACTAAAGTGGTTTAACTCACAAAAGCACGCATACAACGCGTTTGATGAATTGCTTAAAAGAGTTTATATTTACTTAATTGGAGCGAGTGAGTACCTACTAACTTAGAATTGTTCTAGCAAAAGTTAAGATAATTTATTATGATATATATGCATAAATTTTCAGATTTTTGTGCTATTCTTATATGCTATTTTTATGTTGAAAATTTATGAAGAAGCAAGAATCTTTAGAAACACTTTTACATGTTTATTTCATTCTTATGTCATGATTTACATTTAAGGATATCAGCATGAGCATTTACATGGTGTTCTATAAAGAAAAGATTTAGACTTGAAAAGTCACAAGAAGAAGTTTTAGAAAGAAAAGACTTTTGGGAGTATCCTTTATTCTGAGAAGGGGTCATCATCCAGGCTGAGGGTCCTGACCAAAGCGTTGACTTCCTGAAACTACTTGTGCCAAAGTAGGGAGCACACGAGCCGAGGGTCTCGTTGCTGAGAATTTACTTACCTAAGCTAAAATATGATACATGAGCGTTGAGAACCATGAAGCGAGTAGCACCTCGTGGATTGGGCCTATTCGATCAGGTTGGGATCGAACCCGTGCTGATCACACGGTGACTGAGACAGAATTAAGTCAGAATAGTTGGAACTCTCAAAGTATAAAGTGAAGTATTTTTTTATAAGAAAGAAAAAGAAAAGAATTTCTTTTAGAATTTTCATAAACTGCTATTATGCAATTATTTAGAATTATTCTTATAAGCTTTAGTTTTACATGCATTTAGAAACTTTGCTCGTAATGTATATGATATTAAAGTTTCGCCCCTGTTGTTGAGACTCACTGAGTACAATGGATGATACTGACGTTTTCTTTTGGGAACCTACGTTGGTCTGCGGTACAACGTAGGAACCGATTTTGCAGGCGAACAGGTTACGGGTTAGGACTTCCTTCTCTTCCAGTGCTATTGGTGAGATCCGCTTTTGTTCGTGAAGTATTCCTTAGAGTCATCTTTATTTAGTTATTTCTTTGTTTGCTTAGAGAACTGGCCAGGAAATCTCATGTCCTGAGCAGTGCGTCAGTTTATCAGTAGAGGCTTCAGAGACATAGTCGTTGGGTTAAGATTCAGATGTTTTTGATAATAACTTAGCAGTAATTCAGTAGTTACTACGAATAAAGTTTTGGAATTAATTTATTTAAATATTTAAATTAATCAAAAGAATTTGGTTAGAGTATTGCCTTGTTGCATATAAAGTTTGAAGTTATAATAGATTTGATAAGCAGAGATGGTTCGCTCGGTCATGTTTAGTGATCGAGTGCCAGTCTCGGCTTGTTCAGAAATGGGCCGTGACAACTATAACCAATAAACACACATTGAAATGTTTTTGATTGAAATTTATCTTTATTTTGCCCTTTGAGATAAGGAAAATATCTGCAACCAAACACTTTCAGAGTGTTATATAATCACGCTCCATATAGCTTAGAAAATGGAGATTGCGTACTTAAAGTAGAGGTAGACATTCTGTTGATTAGAAATGTTGCAGTCATAAAGGCTTCAATCCAAAGAAACATTGTTAATTTTGCATTGAAAATTAATGCGAGCCTAGTTTTAATAATATGCCTATGCTTTCTTTATGCTATCCCATTTTGCCCAGGTATATAAGGACAAGAGATTTATCTTCTAATACCATTTTGAGCCAAATAACTTGTGAACTCCAAGCTATTGAATTCTCCACCTCCATCACACTGAAACACTTTGAGTTTCTTTGAAAACTGATTTTCTACTAATTTTTGAAATGTCATAAAATTAGAAATAAAATCAGATTTCTTCTTTAAGGGATAAATCCAAGTGAATCTTGTTGTCAACAAAAATAACACAATACTTTATTCTTTGAGATGAAGCGATGGAAGCAGGACCCCATAAATCACTATATAATTTTGATAATAGCTCAACTTCTCTTTTATTTAACTCTTGAAAAGGTAACTTACAACTTTTTCTTATTTGACAACTAGTACAAGCTGAAACATTTTTATTCCAACTACTAACATCAATCAACTTATTAGTATGCAAATAACTTAGAGTTCTTGAGTGTGGATGTCCTAATCTTTAATTCCAAATTGTGTCTGAGTTCTTGTCTGCTTTTATAACTGCCAATGCCTCATGCGAGTCATCTTCCAAAGTATATAAATCATGCCTCTTATTTCTCATTTCTAGAATTGTCCCTGTTCTTTTGTTTTTAACAAAAAAACCATCGTCAGTAAACTCAAGAGAGCATGAATTATCCTTAACAAATTTACTGACACAAATGAGATTCTTCTTAAGTTTAAGCACAACAAAGACATCTTTTAAATGTGGGTTCTTCCCAATAATCTTATCTCTTATATGTGTAATCAGCATTTTATCACCATTACCTACCATAACAAGATCAGTTTCCTTAAATGGAGATGAATTCACAAGAGTAATTGCACCATGTGATTGGTACCACCTGAGTCCATGTAGAGATGATTATTATGTTGATCAGTAAGAGACATAGTTGCTAGAGCTTGTGGTACTTCTTGTTGTGCCTGATATGAATAATCTCATCTATAGAAATAAGAGAGCGTTGTATGGTTATTTCTACCACAAATCTGACATGGATTATATTTTTAGGTTCTCTTTTGGCTGATTTGTTCAAGTTGATTGTGTATAAAATTATCTTTGATTAAATCCTCCTCTATTTCCTATTCCTCTTTGATTTCCTCTTCCTCTAAAGGAATTAACACGACCTCTTCCTTGAATTTTCTGTTCCATAAAGTCTACAACTGAATCAAGGTTTGTTTGTGTCACATGTTCCTCTGCATCTTCTCTTATTTCGAACCCTCTAAGGGTAGTCACAAACTGATTAAAAGTAGGGTATGGTGCTTTACCCAACATCACAGTACGAAGGGTCTTGTATTTGCTTCCAAGACCTGTGGTAAAATTAATTACTTTGCTATCTTCATCTAGTGGTTTTTGGATAGCTATCAGGCGATCACAGATTCCTTTAAACTCCTTTATATACTCATCAATGAATTTGGAACCTAGTTTTATAGTTTGAAGTTGTTGCTTCAACTGAAACTCCTTGTCTTTGCTTGCTTGTAGGTAGGTATCTTCAAGACAAGCTCACATCTGTTTTGCAGATGAACATCCTATGATGATAAACATTGACTTTTTGGTCATTGTTCCAGAAAGCCAACTCCTAATAAGAACGTTGTCATCTTCCCATTCACTGAACTTTGAGTTTGGATTGATTTCTCCTTTCTCACCTTCTATGCTCTCCATGGGAGGTTCTTCTTTGATGACCTTGTCAAGTTTCAATGTTTGCATAAGTTGAAGGATTTGTTTCCTCCAAATAAGGTAATTTGATGATTTTAGCTTAACGGGACAAATTGCAATGAGTTGGTGAAGTGAAGAGGGTGAGAGGGCTAGAGTAGTGCTAGAGGATGCTGTCATAGTTGTTTTAAGAGGGAAGAAAGAACCTTCAGGATCGTTTAGTTTTCAATGAAGCCTAAGCTCTTGATACCATGAAGAAATTTAGAATAATGATGATTTAGAAGTTCAGAACACTTCTTCTTGACTTCATACGTGGAGTTACATGATGTATATATACATCTTGTTAAGAGTTCCTTCTAGCTTATATTTAGCTATTGTATATCTATCTACCAGTGATTATATTAATCACAACTACCTGTATGTGCTATCTTATATCTCCTAGAAGTTATCCTTTCACAAATAAGTCTAGTAGGATAGTTATATATAGACACTAGCTATATAATTCATGACGGCTAGAAATAGAGTTCAAAGGAGTCGGTTACACCCAATACCAAATTATACGGTTGTCTAACACCCTCAACATAACTTTTGATTTAGAGACTAAATTCCTCCAAATTTCAACAAATATAGAAGATTCCCCTTCTCCCATTTTTCTGTGATTGACCGGTTTTCTCTCTTTAAAACAAAAGAATATCCCATCATTTCATCTATGGTGTTCTCCACTATTCCCAAGTTGAGTTAACGTTAAAAATATTTACGTAGTTCACTTAATCTCATAAAATTTAGTAAACCCAGTTAAACGATTGAGAATAATAGTTTAAGAGAAGATAAAAATAAATATAGTGACTTCCTGTTTTTGTTTCTAAGGTGATAAATTAAGATATAAAAGGCGCTAATTTTCTTCATGATATTTTGATTTCGTTAGACGCAAGTGACATAATAGTATTTATGTGAACACTATTAGATTTGATTTTAATGATGCAAATAATATATCTGTTCTATGTGCAGGAACTCATGGACAAGATTCAAAGATTGAAGGAATCAATCAGAGAAGATCAAGGAATCAATGGTTAGCTACGAGATGGAAGCAATCAATAAGGGAATTTAAGGAAAGCAATCCGAGATTAGCAAAGATCAAGAAATCAATGGACGGCTACGAGATGGAAGGAATCAAGGAAAGCAATCCGGGATCAGAGAAATCAATCAAAGCCAAGACGGAACCAATCAAGCCTAGACTTAAGGAATCAAATAAATCGAGCGTATCAAAATTTGGAAGGTGCAAGATCTTGGGAAGCATATATGGAAAATCAATCAAGTCTCTCGTAAACATAGTCGTTGTTGTATGACCTTATTCTTTGAAAGAATCAATTTCTCTCCAAGGATCAAATCTCTTGGGTTGACAAATTTCTCGAGTTATCAAGCCTCTCTCAAAGTATTTAAACTTGTATTTTTACCCTAGAGCCACATACTTTGATCGAACCAAATACTCTCTCTTTATTCTACTACAAACAAACATTGTAGATCTACTAGATCTGTTGTGTAACAAGTTAGAGAAGAAAGAGATAACAACACTAGTGACGTATTGTATCAAAAGAAATGAGTAAAATAGGAACTAAGTGATCGGTGTAGATCACACCATTCTCTGTATTCTCGAAGAAACTCATTCACTGAAAAAAGAACTCCCTTGCAACCCAAGGGGACTGGACTAGGATTCACATTGAATCTGAACCAGTATAAAAACTCTGGTGTCTTTAATTCCTTCATTTAATTTCTGCATCTTAATTTCTGTCTTTACTAGTATCAAGTTCTTATATCTAGTCGACTAATCGTAAAACTAGTCAACTGATAGCTATTAAGTTTAAAGATAAACAATTCACCC